TTAAAGTCAAAACCACAGCACTGCACCAGCTACCAAGAAGGAGAAAAATGACTGCCTCCGCTGAACCCAGGACAATATTATACAGCTAGTGTGGGTCATTTAGTGGCATATACTGTCTGTCAACAGAACAGGACCTTGGAGACCCCAAATAGATCCCACAAACCCTGGCTAGAGCCCTCAGGGACAGCTCACTCCCCCCAGAACCACTGGGCTTCATGCAGAACAAGGGGAGTTTGCAGTGTGGCATGAGCTCAGGGCATGGGCTGCAGGAAATAGGCAGGAGCCAGCCACACCACTCTCCAACTGGGATGAAGAAGCTGCAATCCTGCAGGGAGCTCAGCATCCTCTCCCTGCAACACAGCCCAGGATGGGGTGTGTTGCTGCTGGTACAGGGATGTGCTGTGCCCTGCAGCACAAAGCTGGAGCCAGCAAGCTGCCAGCCCACCCAGCCACCTCCTGCTCTCCTGGTGCAGGGCTAACAGTAACTTTCCATCCTGGCTGGGGGCTCTGCCCTAACAAGATGCTCTTCTATGTCCCTCTAATAGGGCTGGGCCCCATTCAAGGCTCTCTGTTCATTTAGACCCCAAGTCTCCCCCTTTTGTTGTTCGAGCTACCCAACAGGCTGTTCCTCCAAGCCCTGCTCCTCCCTGTGCTCATAGCCCTTCCGTCTCAGGCAAACAAAAGGATTTTCTCCTAAAAATGGGGGAAATAAAAGCTCAGCAACCCGCCAAGAAAGATTCCAACGGTTCAACTGCACTCTTGGTAGAGGAACAAGGCATCCCCGGGGACTTTGCCATCAGCCATTCCCAAAGCTACCTCTGCACAGGCACCTCTGCCTGGAATTGGAGGTCTGGGTCCATCAGCTGCATTGATCGGCTGAGGATGGCAGAGCAAAGTTGATTTACAGAAGGAGGAATCTGGCCCTGGAGCTCAGTGTGGTACTAGAAGCTCGTTCATCTCTAGCAAGTATTATTGAAAGGATCACAATAATCAGCTTATAAAGCCTGATGCCAATTGCTCAATAGGAAAACTGGCTTCAGAGCTGCAGTACTTTCGCCAGCCATCAGCTGGGAAACCAAAAAATTTTAGTCAGAAGAGCTACAAAACAAGGAGCCTACTTGTGTTAATACTGTCAGTTGTTTGCATCTTACAACTTCCATTATGGGAACTCAAACTTGGGAGGCATCAAGAGAGACAGACAGCTGTGGGAACAGGTCTGGTGCAGGAAGAGTTCTCCCACCACTAGGAGGCACTTCTGGAGGTGCCATTTCCCAGGTCCTCACCTGCAGAGCTCACCTGCAGCCCCTCTGTGACATTCTGGGCTGCCACAGGCCCATCTGTCCTGAGCAGCCCCCTCCATGGCTGCCTGCCTCCTCCCTGTTGCAGGAGCCAGCAGCTGCAGCTCTCAGCCCTGCTGTGCTGCTCCTGTGACAGCCCCATCCCAGAGCCAAGCCAGGCTTTAAAGACCCATCAGCAGAGCAGAGTCAAATGATTGAGTGACTGGCTGTGTTTAGCAAGCTGACAGGCATGAGGCAGAGCAGAGACAGCAGGGTCTCTCCTCAGAGGCCAGAGACAAGCACATTCTCAAAGGTACCCATCCCAATGGAGCAAAGTTGCTCACTCTTACCCTCCCTGGGAGGGCAGGATAATGCCATTTCCAAGAGCTGGCTTTTCTGGCTGTGAGCTGCCGTGATGGTTTAAGGGGAGGGTGATGTTGTGGAAAGACTTTTCTCAAAGATTCCACAGTTCACCCATCACCAGCAGCTGTGTTTGGGGTCACAGGATGCACCTCTCCATTGGCTGGTTATGTACAGCTGGGCTGGGAAGAGGGGAGGGGGCCCCACTCCTGGAGTCTCACCAGCACATATCAAGGTTGCCTCATGATGAGATTTAGTGAAAGACTGAGATGAGATCTTAGGAGGAAGCTCTTCCCTGTGAGGGCGCTGAGGCGCTGGCACAGGGTGCCCGGAGAAGCTGTGGCTGACCCATCCCTGGCAGTGTTCAAGGCCAGGTTCGATGGGGCTCGGAGCAACCTGCTCTAGTGGAAGGTGTCCCTGCCTGTGGCAGGGAGTTGTAACTGGATAAGCTTCAAGGTCCCTTCCAACCCAAACCAGTCTGGGATTCTGTGATTATCGTGACCAGGACATGCCAGCAGCTGAGGGCACTTGGGTCCCACTTTCCCATGGGCATGGAGGCCCACAGGCTGGCAGGGCAGATTTTTTAAAGCAGATTATATTTGGCTTCTAACACTGGTAAGAAGCACACCTAGGTGATCCCAGCAATCCTCCTGATGAGACAGCACAATGATCCTGGCACAAGGCCAGATATGGGTTTTCCCCTCTGTGCTCAAACTGCAGGGAGCCCTGGTGGGATGGGCACCCAACCACCTCTCCCTGAAAGGTGGCAGATGCCCATTACATTCAGTGGACAGAGCAGCAGGCTGCCCATAGAAATAAGTTGCAGAAATATTCCAGGCAAGCTGAGACTATTCAGTCTATGCTGCCCAAACTCCCAGGACCTCCTCAGCACAGCACATCTGAGACAGAGCCTTGGCCCAGGCTCATGGGTGGGTGGTGGAGCTAAGGAGGGGCTGTCACACAGGAGGGACAGCAAAGCCTTGGGCAAAACCAGCCAGGGAGTGAATTGCCCCAAGGGAACTGAAAAGTCATGAAAAGAGAGGAGCCTGGAGCACAGGGAACACATCGGGGGTTTCCAGGTACCAGCTTCTCTGCGGGGTGTCTGCGTCAGGAGGGGGATGCAGTGGGGCAGAGCAACACATGGAGAAAGGGCTCCAACATAGCCAGTCCTTGCCTGGGCAGGAGAAGGCATCTGGAGGGGCCCAAACAGCCACCCACAGTCCTTCCTTCTTCCTCATCCTGAAAGCCTTCAGTGAAGAAGTAACTACCAGCCAAATACCCAGCTCCCCTTGCCTATACTCCTTCAGCTCTGCCCCTGACCTCCTTGGCCCGCAGCTGATCAATATCTCTAGCTCTGGGGGGATCCATCAACACTAAGGATTTCATCTCACTTCTTACTAATGCACTCCCTTGTTGTGCTGCATTTGGGCCATGGACCTGGCAGATGCTGGGAGAGAGGCAGAGGGCTGGCCAAAGGCACCATCACGTGCTGTCCCAGGACAGCAGGTTAACTCTTAGCAACCCCCATTTGCCACATAACCCTCTCCACCACAGAGGCAGGTCTTCAGCCCTTCCTCCCACAGTTCATGGCTCACTGGAAGACCATAGACCCTCCTCTCTCAGCTCTCCAGCTCCTTGGAAAGGCACATTCAGCATGTCTGAGTGCCTCAGCCAGGATTTTGGTGCTCTTAGCCAAAACCCACCAACGTGTCCTCACAGTCCCTCATTGCCTTATCACACAGCAACTGCTCTTCTCCGGAGAGCCCCCATCAAACTCCTGTGTGCCTGCCTGGAGATGGGGGGACTTGAGGACACCCTAACCCACCAGTGATGGGAAGCAGGACCCAACATTTGGAGTCCTTCTCTTGAGTGACCCAACTTTTAGCCAGGATGAAAAAGCAGGCACTTGTTTAACAGTGGGGAGTTGAAGGTGCCCCCTTGCCCTGCACGCAGCCTCCATCCATCCTGCAGGTCCAGCCCCTCGAGGTAGCCAACCTGCTGTCCTTCAGCCCCTGCCGTTCCTGCCTGAGCTGGAGCACTGAATTGCAGCAGCTTCCCAGTTAAGGCGCTTCCCCCAGGAGCACTTCTGGAGCCATGTGTGGGAGCACCAACCCAGACATGCAGCACACACCTCCCTTCGCACTCATCTTCTCCTTCCTTTTTTATCCCTGTCCCTTTTAGGAGAAGCACAAAACAAAACTAAGATGAAGTCACCAAACTGATTGGGGAGGGCTGGATACCAGTGCTGTCCAGGCATCCTCCCAGCTTGGGGGGAGGGGGGTGATGTTAAATCCAGTCCTTGTCTAAAGCAGCCCTGGAAGGAGTGGCTTTCACCAGTGGGTGCCAGACACCCATTCAAACCCACTTGTCTTCCAGCCTCCACATCCTCTGCAGCAGGGTGTTGCACATCCCTGGGGTAAAGTCATCCTTGACGTGCTGCTGGCTATGTGACAGTACCACTGGTTTACAGCTGGTCCTGCCAGAGCTTCTGGAGCCCCATCCCACGTCCTCGGGTGCACCAAACAGGGGCTTCTTGGCCAGCCTGGCACTGACCTTCACTGTGAATCCAGTCACATGCACCCTGTCAATAACTAAACACGAGATAACACAATGAGCTGTCACAGCCAATTAACATGCTGGGCTTAATCTGCTTGCGGGCTTCCACGGTGGAGGTGAGGGGTCGGCTCCAGAACAGTGGGGCTGGGGAGAGGCAGGGTGAGGGCTGTGGATCACAGCCACCCTGTCCGCTGGCTTCCCTGGCCAAGAGCCAGGGGCAGAAGGCTCCTGTGGGTGCTTCCCTGGCAGCACACAGATGTGGCATCATCTCCCTAGCATGTGGGCATCCCAGCCCATCAAAACAGCAGAGGGATGGGCAGCTACAGGGTAACTGGTGCTGAGACACTACACACAGGGCTTTAGCCCCAAGGAAGACCCACTCGTTAGGAGAGCAGGCAGCTACAACTGCCAAACCCAAAAGGGTCCCACTTAAAGCCAAAAGGGATCTCAATGTCTGTTGTTGAGTGCCTCTCAATTAATTAGCATCCTGCTGATTCTACAATTGAGGCTCCTGTTAAGGAGATTAAACTGGTTTCTGCCACAAAGCAGATGCTGTTCCCAAGGCTCCTCCTCCAGAGGAGCTCTCAGCCCACAGCTATGCTGGACAGTAGAAGTGGAGACATCAAAACATTGTTACAGCATGCGGGACACCAAACCTATTTCCAAACCCACCATCCCAACATCCTTAATGCGGAAACAAGAGAATTGGCATGAAGGAAGAGACACAGCAGTCCTGGAGCCCTGCCAACCGTGCTCCTCTCCCCCTCACTTCCAGCCACCTACACCACCCACCAATGGGACACTCACCTTGAGGATTTTCACGACCACCCTCTCATTGTTGGTGATGTTGATGGCCTCAAATACCTCACTGTATTTGCCTCGCCCGAGCTTTCGAACCAGCTGGTAGTCGTCCTGATTGCTGTGGGCACCAAGAGTAGAGAGGGGTACACACACAATAACTTACAGGGCAGCAGGCCATAGCGGGGGGGGGCAGTATGAGAAAGCCTAGTAGTAAGGGTTTAATGGGACTGATCAAGTAAACCAGAGCAATTTTGGAAAATCTTTTAGCTCTGACAAACACTTATTAAGTAAGAACATGAGCTCTGGCAGATGTAGTAGCAGAGCTGGCATATTTGCTGTAACAAAGACACTGCCTATAATCCAGAGGACAAATACACTCTTAATAAGGGAGTATTACCTTCATTTCAGGGATTTCTGAGTGCAAAACCTGTGGCCATCTGTAATCCTTCCCATCTAATCTCTTCCAGCCTTTAAAATAATAATTTCAAACTCTTTCCATTCCCATGATTGAATAAACTTGGCAGCTCTTGGCTCTGTGCGAAGGGAAAGAACCTTTCTTTCTCCTTCCTGTGCTAGCCTGGTAAGATTTCAGCATTAATGGGGTTTTAAATTGTTTTATTATGAAGAGCCCTGTGGCTCGGTGCAGCCCCTCCAGAGGAGCATGGTGCCTCCTTCTGCCCCAGGTCACACCCTGGGGGTGACAAGAAGTGATGAGGGGCTGAGCAGGGGTGTGATGAGGAGTTGAGCAGGGGTATGGTGAGGCTGAGGTGGGCTGACCGGGACAGGGGGTGACGGAGCCGTGGTGGGGACCGTAGGAGGTTGACAAGGGGTGACAGGAGGGTGATGGGGGCCTGACGGGTGAGTGACGGCTGCCATGGCGGGGGGGAGGATGGGGCGGGGTGGGTGGGTGTGTGACGGCAAGCGGCTGGGCGGGCTGGACCTCCGCGCCGCCGGGGGTCGCTGCGTGGCGGGCTTCTGTGCGGGCGCCTCTTTTGAGGGCGCGTTTTCCGGCTTCGTCGCGCGGTGCTCGTGGCCGGGCCGGGCCTCGGCACGTTCTGTACGGGCCCCGCGCCTAACCGCCCCCGGGCCGGCCCCGCCCTTGCCGCCCCCGTCGCCCCGCTCCGGACTGGACTTGCTACCGCCTGCAGTCGCCTTCCTGTGCGTCCCCCCCGCCGGCCTCCCTGCGGCCGCCGCTCGTGGCTGCCATGCCCGGCCCGGCTGCCGGCAGCCGTGCGCGGGTGTACGCCGAGGTGAACAGCCTGAGGAGCCGCGAGTACTGGGACTATGAGGCGCACGTCCCAAGCTGGGGGTAAAGCGCCCCGCGGGGACACCCCTCATTCCCCAATCCTTTTCCCCGGCGGTCCCGCATCCTCCGGGCCTGAGCCCACCGGGAGGGTTCTGTGACCGATTCACCTCTCCCCGTTTTGTGGTTTCTCCGGGGGGCTGCGGGGGGAGCTGGGAGAGCCGCCCCCCCCCCCCCCCCCCGCTATGGCCTGCTGCCCTGTAAGTTATTGTGTGTGTACCCCTCTCTACTCTTGGTGCCCACAGCAATCAGGACGACTACCAGCTGGTTCGAAAGCTCGGGCGAGGCAAATACAGTGAGGTATTTGAGGCCATCAACATCACCAACAATGAGAGGGTGGTCGTGAAAATCCTCAAGGTGAGTGTCCCATTGGTGGGTGGTGTAGGTGGCTGGAAGTGAGGGGGAGAGGAGCACGGTTGGCAGGGCTCCAGGACTGCTGCGTCTCTTCCTTCATGCCAATTCTCTTGTTTCCGCATTAAGGATGTTGGGATGGTGGGTTTGGAAATAGGTTTGGTGTCCCGCATGCTGTAGCAATGTTTTGATGTCTCCACCTCTCCTGTCCAGCATAGCTGTGGGCTGAGAGCTCCTCTGGAGGAGGAGAGCTGCGAGTCCTGACATTTGAACAGCATTGCAAATGCTGCCTGTGTTTGGTAAACTGTGTCAGTTTTAGACAAATTTTAGACAATGCCTGTCTAAAACAGCCCAGGGACTGCTGTGTCAACAGGAATGTGGAGTGTGGAACATGGATTCCTTCTGTTAACCTCTAGACAGCTGGCATGGAGCCTTTTCAGAGCCAGTGTGTGGGATGCTCAGCAGCCAAAAAAGCAGGCAATGTTGAGTTCTTTAGAGGATCTGACATGGAAAAGAACTTCACTAGACAGGCCAGAACCACCATGGACACTTGAGGAGACTGAAAGAGGCCATGTTAAGTTTGGCAACATTGGTGACCTGTGTTCTGGTGTGTTAAGCTGTGGGGACCTTCATGCAGCAGTAACAGGTTGTAGTTTAGGATGGCTGAATGCATGGCTCAGACACCGCAGGACATACCTTACCTGAAGCAGCAAGCTCACAGTGGGCTGTGGTAATTGTCCTAGCAGCAGTCTGTGTTGGTGATCTGGGGATGGACAGGGGTGTTAAAGACACAGAAATGAAAGGTTAGAGTGGAGGTGCTTTTGGTCTTGGCTTGGTTGGCACTTGTGGCTGTCACTTGTTGGACCAGCAGCACTTGTCACATGATCCCAAGAGCATGTGGGAGCTGGTGCCTGACCATAGGTGTCCTAAGAATTTGGGCACATGTTGATCCACAGCGTGCAGGGAGGGCTGAGCTTAACCTGCCCTTGCAGCCACCAATACTAGTAGCTACCTGGGACACATCTCTGCAGGTCTGTAGCCTGAAGGCATTTGCTAGATCCACCACATAAGTGTGGCTGTCTGTCTCTGCTGATATCCCACTCACAGTGCCTGCTGCTTCCTTGGGATCTTCCTTGGCTTTCCAGAGAACATGTCATGGGCTGTCCTAGGCAAGGATTGACCTCCTGTCTGCCTCTGGGAGGAGGTGCACACACTCCTGCTTTGGCTGTGGTCAAGGTGGTGGCCAGGTGAGCTTTTTGTGGGAGCCCCTGTGGCTGAGCCTGACATCAGGGCAGTGGTGAGGCTCATGTCTTCTTGCTGAGCTGAGTTCCTCTGGCATGCTGTTGGGTCCTTCCCCTCCTTTGGATGCTTTATGTGGTTTAAAGGTTTGTTTGTTTAAAGTAGGGGCAGGTAGGAGTTTCTTCTATGAGAGAGTAGTCAAAGATAGTGCAGAGCTGGGTTTTATGGCAAGATGGCTTGTGGCTATGCTGAGGAAACTGCTCTTCTGCACGCTGCTCTGGAGCCCCTGGTGGTCTCTTTAGGATTACTGTGGTTTGTTGAGATCCTGGGTCTTGTCCCACATAGAAAGGCACCACAGGGCTGGGAAGGGACTGTGGAGGAAGTTGTCAGGAATCTTCCTCCTTGCCTCTTCCCAACCTAAAGAGCCTCTCCTAGAGCGATGCTCCTCTCCCTGCAGCAGCCAAACTCTGTCATGTCTAGGGAGCTCTTCAGCATTGGACTGTGAGTCAGCTGGCAAGAGTCATCTGAGGGTGGCTGGGTGCTCCTTCTCCTTGGGGCCTGAATGTGTTGCCTTAATACCCTGCAAGCCGGGGACTGGATTGTCCCAGATCTGAAGTGGATAGTGTTGCCAACAGTTTCCCTGGCTCCCCGCACTTGCATTAACATGCAGACAGCATTCCTGAGAGTGAATAAGGAAAAGCAGAAAGTCCAGATAAATAGGATGAACTTCCTTGTCAGTGGAAAGTGAGTTTCAGAGCACTGTGGTGTGTACGTTACGAAAGACTGTGAAGTGCAGCAGTAACATTGCTCTGATCTGTGGAAAGTGCCTCTCGTTTCCTGTAGCTAGACTCAAACTTAATTGTGAATGTAATTGCATGTATCTATAGTGGAGCCTTAGCAAAGAGGCTGGGTCTCTCTTCCTCCTAATTCAGGCTGGATCCTCTGAGGTAGGAAATGCAACCAGAAGCCTTTGGGGTTTCGTGTGGCTCTAGGGCAGGTACAAAGGGGAAGACTTGTTTGGCAATGGATGTGACTGTTTAGTACAGTTGCTTCTTTCTCTTTAAGGTTTTTTGAGTGATTTTTTTTTTTTTTTTTTTTATCAAGAGTCACTGTTTTAATATCTGTGCCTCGTGGGAGGTGACTGGTGTCTCTTGCCAGCCTTGCTCTTTGAAGCAGCTTATCCTTGCCAAGCTTAAGTTAGCATGTAACAAGTACTTCCGTTGCTTTTTCCCCCTTCTTTGATGTTGTGCTGCCTGAACATCTTGTACCATCCTCCAGAGAGGTCAGGAAATTTTATCATCTTTTCCTGATGCAGAACTGAGCCACAGAGATTTCCTGTGTGACTTTGGACAAGTCCCTTAGCCTCAGCAAAACAGACTACAGCATAGTTCTAGTGCTGCATGAAGGAGATAAATCTTGCTCTTCTGGCAGCCACTTGCCTTGTTTGTTTAAGTGCCCTATGAAAACTTTAGTATTGGATAAGGGCAGGGAGCTAATGGCTCTGGCATCACAGTGCCTCAGGCCTTTTGGGTTTACACAAAGCAAGGTGCCCCATTTCCCTGGCCAGTACCCAGCATTGCCTTTAGGTTCTGCTACCCCAAGTGCAGGACCAGGCCTAATTCTGCGGGAAAATGGTATGTGCTCATGCAGCTAGTTGTGGTCATAATGTGTCCGCAAAGGAGCAGAATGGAGATCATGTAGATGACCCTAACATTACCAGTTCCTGGCCCAAGTGCCTTTCCTTGCACACAGGGTGCTCCTGGTGTCAGTTTTTCCCAGAAAATTCTGCAGCCCTTTTAAAAGAAGGCAAGCCAAGCATGCAGGTTGCTTCTCGCCCCACTGCAGCAGCACATCAGGACACACCATGTAGGACAGTGAGCGCAAGGCAGCAAGGCAGGAGCCCTGGTTTGCCACACAGACACCCCTGCTAAGCATCCTCCAGAAAGCTTTGGTCTTGAGAAGTAAGGCAGAGAGCAGCTCCCCACCTTTGCAACCTGTTTGGGGAGCAAAGACTCAGCAAAAAAAGCTGTGGGGCTGAAGTCATCTTGGAAGGTAGCGGAGGAATCTGCACTGTACAGACCTTCCTACCCCTCACAGGCAGTAATAGCCAGCAGCAGTGTTCCCCCAGTCCATGACTAGTATAGGAGGCCCTTGTGGGCTTTTTGATCTGTCTGGCCTGGGTTCAGCTGTGGGCATGCTTCCTGCATGCTTAGGGGTGGGCCAAGCCGGGAAGAGGGAATGTGTGAACATGTCCTGTACGTGCTTTTGTGTCTTGCTTAAATTTGACACTAAGGTTTGACTCCCAGGATGAGGTCTGACATTCCTCGGCATGTATGAAGGAGGTTCAAGCCGTCTTTGTTTCCAGTGAGCCCTGTATCATCTACATCCAGTTACAGAATGGTTATGGTTGGAAGGGACCTCTGGAGATCATTAGTACAACCCCCTGCTAAAGCAGGTTCAGTGCTTTGGCAGGTATCTAAAGCACAGCTCTGTTCATTCATATCTAACCACTTAGTTTTAGAATTTTGGTGGACTCCTGAGGTC